TTCTAACATCAGATGCGTAAATTAAAACTTTGATGTCATACAAGGTCCACTTGGTCTTTGTCAGCTTCAGACCAAAACAACCGTATCAGATATTTTTAAAATATTGAAAAAATGTATAGAATATTAAAAAATCAGCACACACAATCTGAATAGGTGTAAACTTAATAGTATTTGCACTGGTACAAATATTATTAACTGGCAGTTGTTAGAAAGAATAATGGTTATGTTTCCTACCTTGATAAACACTTAAAAAGAATACTTTTTAAGTATTATTTTATCATATATCAGGAAGTGTTTTGTTCCAAAGACATGGAATATAGCCATGTTTTTTGATGACTGTCAAAAATATAATCCGACTATTTCAAACCTATCAGAGTCCTTTGATTCTCGTTTTCATGTTTTTGAAGTTTAAAAATGAAAATAGTTGTATTCATTGATCCGTTTGAACCACAAGAAATGACATTAGCCACTATTCTCCAAAAATTCATATGGAAGTCACTGATATTCAAGAACAGAGGAACAAGAGGTGATTAAAGGTTAAAAAGCTTTGTAAAAATTTAATGTCCTCTGACCTCATAGAATTTTAGAAATATGTTCCCAAAACTTATTTTTTAAAACTTATTGACATTGCACTTAGATTTTTCTGCAAATTTAGTCCAACATACGTTTGTGAAAAAATATTTTCCTCCATGAACTTTTTTAATAACAAATACAGACCTAGATTGGCTAATAATCATTTGAAAGATCTGATTTTGCTATCTCAAAAATGAATCCTGATATTGATAAACTTATCAAAAAAGTTTAAAAACCTCATTAAAATACATTTACTAGTCTGATTTTGTATAAACTATCGATTTATGTTTAAATGAACATAATTTATTCAGTGTTATATAAAATAGAAAACATTCACAATAGTATAGTTTTTTGATTTCTCAACTTTTTAAGGCATAATGCGGAGCCCAAAACCAACTTTGGATAGGGGACACCAGCTCAATGGAACGCACTGAATATAAGGAATAAAATTTTTTAAAATAACTATCATAAATACACCAACTTTTTACAAAGTGCCCTAGGCATCTGCATCTACATAGACACCACTAAAATATTGTGCTTATTTCTAAAGATAAAATTCAGCTACAATTAGTATTATATATTTATGTATCGAAACTTTCTTGCACAGTGTTTTAGCAGCTTTTATTACATCCACCTTGCTTTATTTTATTTAATAAAAAAAGTGATGGTAATGGTAACAGTTTAATCAAATTTGATTTGCTTGCTTAAATGCCTATCTTAATAATAAAGCATGCACACCGCAGCGGAAATGGTTTATTTGAAAAAAAAAGCCCACTAGAAACGGTTTTTATTTTTAAAACTACAACAATTTGAATAGTTACTTTAAATAGAAAATTAACTATTATCTAAATTTTGAAAATATTCTGTCAACATCTTTCAAAAAGAGGGGTAAAACGGAAAGATCGCGGATTTTTGGTGTTTAAGATAGGTAACTTCCAGAGATGATGCCAAATTTTGTAAAATTGGTACTGGTATCAAATAAGAATTTTTTACAAAAAATTACAGTGGTAAAAGCCTGGGAACAATGTGCATCTGAAAAATTGGGACTTACTATTCCAAATGTGGGAAGAAGAAAAAAACTTGTTTTTGCAGTATCTTAAAATAGATCAAAACTCATCGGAAAAATTAGGTTATTTAAAAAACATTCTTATCATTTGAAATTGGCGGAAAAATGAGGGGGTGTCAACTTTACAATTTCATAACTTTTAAACTTTAAAATATTTTTTTACTAAATGAGAATTTAACAGACGTTGAGTTCATAATGGTAGAGTTTTTTTTCAGTGCTATCAATGCCCTTCTTTCCTAAAAAATATTTGGACTTTAAAGCCCTAATTTGAGGATAATATTGTTCCCAAACTCTGATCACCATGAATTTTTTTTCAACATATTATTTGTATTATTGGGAAAATTCATATCTGGAGGTTAGTTATCTTGAACAATAAATACCTTGAAATTGATCTTTTAGTATATATTCAATTGTTTTTCAATTAGAGAAGGGTTTAAACGACGCAAATTAATTTTTACATTTATTTTTATTTTCATTTACAATCAGTAATAGTTTCTAAAAGATACGCATATATATCGCGACGTTAGAATTATCTTGTTCTATCTCCACTTTCTGAAAAAATTGAGTTAATGATAGAGTTGTGTTCCTCAAAATAATGTCTTTCTACTGAATTGAAACCTAAGTTATAAGTAAAAAAGTTGCGGAAAAAACATAAGTTATAAAAAAAATTTATACGCCGTCTTCTAAAGTTTTTGTTTTTTAAATCGTTTTATCTCAAAACTAAAAAATGTGGAGATAGAACAAAATAATTTTAACGTCGCGATATTACAACATATTTAAATTTAAAGTAAAATTTTATAAAAACGGTTAAATGTCGGAAGTTGTACGTAACAGTGGCTTTAGGAAGGCTTTGCGGATAGTATTTATGGCGACTAGAACTTTTGTATCCACTCTCCCAAAACTGTTTGAAATTATAATGAACAGATGAACAGATTCAGAGGCCTTTTCAGAACAAAAACCCAATTTTTTATTTGGATTGGAATTTTACATAATTGAAAGAAATTCACATGTATGCTTGATAAGAGCATACACTTTCGATGACACTCGTAGGCCAAGTTTAACATATGCATCTTTGTACTCGTTAATGGGTGACTCATATTCAGGTAACAAACTAGAAACAAGACATGAACATTTGAAGAAATTAATTATAAAAATAATGTGTTCATCTTTTTCCAGTTTGGAAGATTTTATTAATTCTTCTAAAACACAAATATTTATATTAAAGATTTCAATAACTTTTACGTCATCAGACAGATCAGCTAGTGGAGGGTTAACACAATTGATATACCCATCAAAAAGCTTGGATTTTATTTAAATTTTTACAGGCAGCTTTGGAGGCATTAGCTAATGAACGGATACTTCCCAGAGGTCTGAGATCACCATGATTTTCAAAATCTTGCATTTTTTCTTTGCTAATGTTACACCAAGGGCAAAGATGTGTTGATGCTGCACATTAATTTCAAAAAATATATGGGCTAATTTTATATCGAAAGCTTTGTGCTTTATTTTTAAACTATTTAGCTTTAAAATAGTGATACTTTTCTCAAGATTTGAATGAGACTGTTGTTATCTGTTTTTAGCTACGTTTTCTAACAATGTTGTGAAAGGCTGTTCTAAGCATTCACTGGAAAAATCTCAGGAATAAGGTTTGGATTTCAATTTAAATTGCGTTATAGACCTTAAATAATGTACTTTTAATTAAAAATGCTTTTCATATAAAACAGATATTGATAAAGGCACCCTTTTACTAAGGTTTACAACCCAACATTTTAGTAACTCTTGATTTTTTAACGAAAAATTTATTGAAGCAACTCCTATATCTTCTAAAGAAATATTGTATCCAGTTTCATAAGCGTAAGCAACATATATATATTTTTAGAGTTTTCTCATATTGACAAGGTTTACCCTAGAATTCTTAAAGAATGCTCGACGTCACTAGCACATCTATTTTTACTAATCTTTGATAAATCCTTAGTTTCCAGCAAAGTACCAAGGCATTGGAAAGAAGCAAATGTCGCTCCCATCTTTAAAAAAGGTATTAAACTTATGTCAGAAAACTATAGGCCTATTTTGCTGACGTCAATTATTTGCAGATTATTTGAATCAATAATACACTATTTCTAGAGGCTATCGACCTTTTAGATGACCTTATCAAGGCATTGGAATGGTCAAAAATAAATAATATGGTTTCTCAAGTGTGAAAAAAATCTATATAAAAATAAATAATATGGCTTCTCAAGTGTGAAAAAAATCGCGGTATTAATTTCTTGGGCAATTTTAAGTGAAAACAAAACGAAATTAGCTCCGCATCTAAAGCAAATTGAGCACTTAGTATGATAAAGCGTACCTTTAGTTGTATTGATAAACAGATAATTAAAGTGTTTTATGCAACACCTGTCCTTCCACATTTTGAATACGGTACCGCTGTATGGTCTCCTTACCTTAAAGGTGGTACATTTATATCTACCACCTTTAAGGTACGGTGGAAGTAATAAACTCTTTTAGTTTAAATTAGTTTAAAAATAAACATGACAAGCACCTACACAAGAACTATAAATAAAGCAACTTATTTTTGCTTTCACTGTGTAAATCACACTAGCTCTATTAATACATGCACAACTCTATTACAAAATAAAACAAAAACAAGTATTTTACTGTCGTTTTTTGTTGTTGCTGCGTAAATAAGGTTTATAATCAATAAGGCCATGCAAGAGCATAGTTATATAATCAGGAATATCTCCCATATTCGAAGGCATATTAATAACTGAACTGAACTATTCGAAAGCATACTAATAACTGAACGAAAGATTCGAACAGTGGTAAAAAAACCGGTTCGTACACGATGAAAAAAGTAGAAACTTAGGACACTAAATGTTTTCTAAACCACTTTTTTTTTTTTAAAGTAAACACTGCTTCTTACGTCAGATATTATGGCTGAAATCGAAGATAAAAAATTTAATGAATAAGTAAATTATCTGTAAATTATCTGGTACGGATTCGTTATTACTTGGCTTAGAACACACTAGCCAATAGGGATTACTCTAGCCTTCCTGCTTTAGAGAATCACAAAATCCGTTTAGACAATACCGCATTGATGATCTTGGCTTAAAAAATGTACTTAAAAGCGTACTTGTTTAGTACGTAATATTATTATTACAAAACTAATGATATTTTATATGATTAAAACATTGAATCGCTCCTAAAAAAATATATTTTTGTAACCTAAAAAATTGTTGAATTAATTTTTAATTTAAGAACAAAAGCTAAAAACTTTATTATTAATTCTAGCGGCAGGAACCGAAATTTCAACTTCAGTTTGGCAACCACTGTCTGTTTGCTTGCAAAAGCTAACGGAAATTACCTCCAAATCCATTTGTTTCCAAAACATCATCTGATGGCAACCACCAATGGCTCCAAAAATTCTTCTGTTCATGGTTTCCGCTTCCCAAAAAAAAGTGTTTTCTTTAATTTGACGCTGAGAGTATAACCGATTATTTATAAAAATAAGTAGGTAAAAAACCTTGTTGACGGTGCAAATATTGACATATATTAAAAAATTATAACATTTTCAATAACAAAATAAAAAGTAGAAAAAATAAATACCTTTAATTTTACTTCTCCGAACTTATTATCGTAGAATCTAACTCTCAAATACAACCCAATAAAATAAGCTATCGAAAAACCGGGTATTGGTATTTCTTGCGAACCCTTCAAAGTTGTTCTAAAGTTTAATCCTATTTCTGAAATCAATATATGAAACACAATATTTATTGTTGTGTTTCTACAAGTTTCGACGTCGATATCAATGTGCGATTTTTTATTGGTAATTTTTAAGTCGCATCGATAATTAATATCACCTACATCTGAATTTACTTTATAGCAGGAGCCTTGTATACCTGTTAAAAGTTTAAAGTATGCTTTGTTTATTGTTGCATTTTTTAAATAAAAATGCTGTAGAATTTTCAAAAAAATTATAATTTTTTAAAATAAATGTAAGAAAATGTAAGAAAACAAATAAGTTTATTCAACAAATAATTTATATAAATGTAAAACTATTCGGCAATTATTGCCGAATAGTTTTACAGTTATATAATTATTTCTATGAAAAGTCTTTCAAATTCAAATAATTTTTATGTTTTGCAAATTATGGAGTGGTACATAGTTTTTGGAATTACAAACATTTTGATTATTTATATTTAATCAAAATAACGCTGACTTTTATAACGCTGATTTTTTATAAACTTTAAATGGATGTAATATTTAAACCTAATGACATTTTTTAATGAAACTCTAAATCCTTTAATGAAATTTGCGCGAGGTTAGAATTATTTGTTGAAGCTATGAACTTATCTGGAATTTAATTTACTCCAATAATAAAAAATTTTGAGTACGCCACTGATTTATAAATCCCTATATTGTCTCAACTATTTTTTCACTGATTTATAAATCCCTATATTGTCTCAAGTTTTTTTTTAATAATTAAAGCTGTTTAACCAAGTCGAAATTGTTACTGAAATTAAATTAATAATGTGTAGTAGTTATAAATTTTCATATAAATATATGATAATAAAATAATAATGACTAATTTTTCCATCACATCAACGAATTGATCTTTTTTTGCAACCAGTCGCAAGGTTAGAAATATTTTGTTCTATTTCCAAATATTTGTGTTTTGAGATAAAACAATTTGAAAATTAAAAACTTTAGGAGACGGCATATAAAAAGATTTTTATTACTTATGTTTTCTCCGAAACTTTTTTGATTTTAATTTAAATTTTAATATATTAGAAAAACATTATTTTGAGGTACATGAAGCAATCAATAACTCGATTTTTTAAAAAAGTGGAGATAGAACAAAATAATTCTAACCTCGCGCAGTGTCGGATCAAGGAAAGGGGGCTTGGAGGGGCTATAGCCCCGGGCCCCGCAAATTTATGGATCCTCAAAAATTTTAAAAGACTTTTTTTTTTAGTCAATTTTAGGCTCTGGCTCATAAAAATGCCTCCAAAAACAAAAAATAACCCCGGGCCCCAAGAAGTCTTAATTCGCCACTGTTTGCAATGATACAAAAAATAAAGAGAAATCAGGTATTTTCCATCAGATCAAAGAATTGATCTTTTTTTGCAAACACACAAAAAATAAAGTGTAATTAAATATTTTAGTTGAAATGTTTTGATATAAAAAAAATCTCTTTTTTAATCGTTGTTATTTAATTGATGGCTCGTTTAATGCATTTAATGTTCCCAAGGAAATTGTTCCCAAGGTTGTGGTTAATTTGAAGAGTGAAAATGGGAAGATAGTAGAACAGAAAAAAAACGTGACGTCACCAACCAATATGACAAAGTAAAATGTCAGTTTGTCTCCTGGCAAGTACTCTACAAATTAGCTTTATCTTGATCATGCATATGGTAAAGTAATAATCTTGGTTCGTAATTTTTTCATTTCTCCACGCCAAAAACTTACCCTACGGGCATTTGTTTTTAAAAATTACGTTTTAAATGTCTTCTAAACGTTTTTTAAACGTCTTTTAAACGTTCTTTACGTAAGAATCATCAGAAGACGTTTGAAAGACATTTAAAATACATTAAAAACGTAACTTTTAAAAACAAATGCCCGCTGGGTTAAGTCTATGTTGAAAATCGATAAAAATGGATTTGGTACAAAACAATTCGTCCGCTACTTGAGTAGTATTTATTTTAAAAAGATCACCAAAATATTCTATTTCTTTTTCTTATGTCAAAGATTATGCATAGTTATATGAACCCACATTAATTTGAGACATTATGGATTGGAGTGAACATCCAAACATATGGGGTGATCACCCAAAACCAATTGTCAGTTGGCTTGTTGTTCATCTCTTTTTTAATCTCTACATCTTGCTCCAAAAAAAATTCTGTTTTATCAACATTGTTCTAGTTAGAGTAGAATGTACATTTGTTTTGTATTTTTAACTTTGCTTATGGATCTTTTTTTTTTTTACAAGCTAACTTCTGAACAAGAACAGCCAATTCTAATTTTTCTATTGCATAACATCTTGACCCTGTGTGGAAAAACGTAAATAGTTGAATACTATAAAAAAAATAAAAATTTATTTTTTATTTTTTTGTTGTTGTCAGAAATTAGGTTTGGGTGAGGGCAATAACATCCGTTTTTACCATGTATATTAACATCCGTGCAACAACATCTGAAATTTCATTGATGTATAATAACATCCGTGCAACTACATCTGTATATTTTTTGGATGTAACTACATCCGAATTTTTTTTTTCTTTTAAATGCATAATTTTAACCAGACGTAGTTACGCATCTAATTTTTTTCGGATGTAACTACATCCGCCAAAAAAAAATTATTATAATGCATTATTTTAATCAGATGCAGTTACACATCTGATTTTTTTCGGATGTAACTACATTCACCAAAAAAAATTATTTTAATGCATTATTTTAAGCATAATAATTTTTTTAAATTATTTGATAGATTGCCTGCCCAAACCAAACCCTCAGTCAATGTAGCAGCACTCCGTTGCGAGTCAGGCTATTTGTCAGTCGATGTAGCAGCACTTATATAATATAATAATTATTTATGTAACTTATATATGTAACTACATTAGGAATTTTTTTTTTTAATAGTGCATTATTTTAACCAGATGTAGTTACACTTCTGATTTTTTTTGGATGTAACTAATCCGGGAAAAAAGTAATTTAAAAATGCATTATTTTAACCAGATATAATTGCACATCTGATTTTTTTCGGATGTTACTACGTCTGGAAGTTTATTTTATTTTATTTTTAATAATGCATTATTTAAGGCGGATGTAGTTACACATCGAGAAAAACTTTCGGATGTAGCTACATCTTTCTAAGGATGTTATTAGACATCAATGAAATTTCGGATGTTGTTGCACAGATGTTAATTCAGTAAAGAAAAAAAGCGGATGATCTTACACAAAAATGTGCGGATGTTATTTCACTACTTCACGAATGTTATTTCACTACTCCACGGATGTTGTTGGACAGATGTAGTAATCTTTTTCCTTAAGTTCTACTCTAACAAACCACTTAAGGAATGAGGGAGGGAGGGAGGAGAGGTGAGTGTTAAAAATAGGGGGATCTAAAAGTTGTTTGTTGTGATGTAATTTGCAAATGACCAATTGTCAGTAGCACTGTATCATTATGTTTTCACAAGAATAAAACATAAAATAAATAAATAAAATATTAAATAAATTGACAATTAAAAGCTTGTTTAATACTTTTCAATATATGTTTTAAGTGATTTGATTTTAACTTTAAACTTTATTTTTTTGTTAAACATCAAATACAGCGAGATGTTAAAATAAAAAACTATTATTCAACGCTGCTTATTAAACTTATTCGGATTTCATTAAATATGCACTTAGATCTTACGTACGTCGTAATCAGTTAAGATTGATTTAAAATCAGTTTTTAAAAACAATTAAAACAGTATAAAATAAAATATAATTTATTTTATACTGTTTTATAAAACAAAAGTATAAAATAATTTTATACTTTAATGTGTATACTTAATTTAAAAAAGTTACAGTAACCTTTAAAGTTGCAGTAACATTTAAAGTTGCATTAACCTTCATTATTAAATTTAATTCAAACAATTTTATTTAACACAAATATATTTCACAAACACAAGTATTTTTTAACTTTGTTATTTTTTTAAAAATTGTTTTTGAAAATAATTATACGTACCCTGAAAGTTCAGCAAAGTAAATACAAAAACAAATAGTAAATTAGATTTCATTTTAGAGTGCGTAAAAAACAACAACATATGCTTTAAAAAACTTTAGTATCAAGAGCACCTTTAAGCTTGCTGCTGTAAGGACAAATTGTTTTATCGTTTTATCAAATATCTTATCCGAACAATGGTCTGATAATCAGTTATTCGGATGTATAATACAATATATTAGTTTAACCCATTCAGTCAATGCAACTTTCTTAGAATTTCAATACTAGGTTAAATTCTAAGAAATCCGCCTATAATGAATAGCCTATGAATATTATTAGTGCGCATAGTTACGCATTGTTACGCCTATTGTTCGTTTTGTTAATTACGGTTCTGCATTATGTAAAATACACTTTCTTTGCCTCTAGAATTTTCTAAGCGCAGTTATATATTCCACGCGGTCATTCGAGTAAAATTAGCAATTAAATTGGAGCTGATACATTTATTTTCAAGAAGAATTAATGTTGTTTATTTTTTAAAATAAAAATTTAAATAGTTGTTAGTTTGCTATGTATATATATATATATATATATATATATATATATATATATATATATATATATATATATATATATATATATATATATATATATATGTATATCTATATGTATTTTCTCTTAGCAAAAATAATTGAGAATAGAAAAAAAAAAAAAAAAAATTTCTGGAATTTGTCAAAAGGGTGTTGTGTTATTCTTCATTTTAAGGTATCTAAATATGTATTTGTTTTTCATTTTTTAGAATAAGTTAGAACTAAATTGACTGGTAAAATAGTTTTTTTAGTACAATGTTTCTTTTTTAAGAAAACAGTTTTGTCGTTAGTCTTTTTAAAACATTTAAGCAGTATTTGTTTTATTTTTTAGAGCAGTTAAGAGGAGCTGATCGCTTTTTTAGTAAGTTCAAGTTATTTTCTCATACATAAATTAAGGTTTTCGATTTATTTCAGTCTATTTTATATTTCTCTATATCTACATATATATATTCTCTAAGGAAAAATAATAAGGAATAAAAAAATTAAGAAAATTTCTTCTGGAATTTGTCAAAAGAGTGTTGTGTTATGCTTCATTTTAAGGTATCTAAATATGTATTTATTAGAAATTTTTTTAAACCAAGTTTAAAAAAGTTGTTAAACCAAGGAAATTGTAGAGGTTTATTTATCAATATATACTATAAATTATATAATAATATTGGAGGGAGTAAGTTAAAAAGCATTTTTAAATTTTTAAAAAGAAATAAAAATACTTTTCAATATATATCTGTTTTTTTGAGGTAGATTTAAAGTTTCAGGTTTTCAAAAATGTAGATCTTTTTAATGTATAAATAGACATTAAGTATTTCTAAGTAGACATTACGTATATATAAAATCTTTTTAAAATTTAATAAGTAATTATTTGTAAATATATATATATATATATATATATATATATATATATATATATATATATATATATATATATATATATATATATATATATATATATATATATATATATATATATATATATATATATATATATATATATATATATATATATATATATATATATATATATATATATATATATATATATATATATATATATATATATATATATATATATATATATATATATATATATATATATATATATATATATATATATATATATATATATATATATATATATATATATATATATATGATGTTATAATTCCGTTACTTTTTTTTATTTTAGATTTTACCATACGTATTAATACAATATTAAAAAAAAAACTTGATTTCCTAAATTTGTAAAATTTTGTTCGTTTGTTAAAAAGATATAAAGACATTAATATATATTTTTTTTTCCGATGTTTTCCCTATCTTATGCTTTAATAATTCGTTGTTAAAAACGCAGGGAAACTTGCAGTTTGTCAAATATTAAGTTGATTAGTTTAGTCTGCAATTGCAACAATTTTGAGGAAAAAAAAAATTCTTATATGTGTAAATCGTTGTTTTACGCTTTATTATTTTGGTAAAAGGTCTTCATCATAAATAGATTACTCTTAATAAAAAAAACGCTACTCACAGGGCTACCATTAAAACAAAAAAAGGGGAGGGGCTCTTAATTAGCGGAGATGTCAAAATATTGACGAAACCGAAACTTCGAGTAATAAAAAGAATATTTAGTAAATGGCAGCAAATTACTTTACCGTTTGCAAAAAATAATTGAAATAAAGAGGCCATCTATTCAATATAGAAATAATCAGAGTTTAGAAGGCTTAACATGACCGGGTCCGGGTAGCTTTGTTTGCAAACATGAGATTATGTCACGTTAACAACCTCAAAAGTCAATTTAAAACATGTTTAGTAGCAAAATGTGATACATACAAGTATAAATGTGATAGTATAGTAATACTCTTTTATGATTTTTTAGCTAATAAAATGGGTTTAAGACTAGATTGATTTTTGTTTCCTGTTAAACCGCAGTAAATAAAAATTAGAAGGCTATTTGGCCCCGTCAGAATATGCGACAAGTTTGTATTAAACTCATTTACACAAAAATGGAATTAAGACAAGTTAGCTCCTAAAATTATCTATATGTACAGATATGTTTATTGCACTTATTAGTAAATAAATTGATTAGTTGCGTAATGAGTTTAAATTTTAGCCATTTTTTAAAGTTGATAATCGTAACGTACTTAATTAAACATGCGTGATGTAATTTGCATAGCTAAATTAAATGCTCTTTTACTTAGTTACTGCGCTAAGTGTTGCGCAGTTTGGTTTGTGCGCAGTTTTTCTTCTGTTCTGGAATTTTGAGATTGGAATTTCCAGACTTATTTTAAAAAGCGCGTTTTCGTTATAATTTTTTTTTACATCTAATCGTACCTATCAAGTAGGTCATATTCAGTATAATCAATTCAATCGTTTTAATTTTTTATGTTTTAACATGTCTATTACCTTTATTAAATTTGTTTTTAAGCATATTTGTTTTTATTTTTTATATCGAATTAAGGGGGCTCACCCCCCTCAAAAATATTTCGACAACTACCAAGTTCAAAAGATTTTTAGGGTATTCATTGGAAAGGATAATACAATAGTGTTTAAAAAAATATATTTTCATTTTTTAAAAATGTCTGCTGTTGCCATGGTTACAAATTTAAAATGGCGAAAATCATAAATTCTTGAAATTTGGAAAGCTAATTCCATTGGGTTGGTAAACTATTTTTCAATAAAACTTTCTAACATTATTTATTTACATTAGAAGCATGCAATAAACCAAAAAAAAGTGAAATATTATTTCGGGAAGGATGTCTGTTTGCGTTTTTAAAAAATCAACAATATTTTTCTATATTTTCAACATAAAATTGAACTTAAGACAAGCTAATCACAGACAATATAAAATATTTAAATTAAATATTTTAATTAAATTAAATTAAATATTTAAAACTTTTGGTTTATTGCATGAAACAATCTATTATGTGTGTTGTGTGATAAAATCAGCTTAAAAGTTATAATAGAACCAAAGTTACTACATTTCCAAATTCTATTAAATTCGGAAAAAATGCAATCTGAGAAAATAAGCAAAAAGTAAAACATTTTGTAAAAAGAGTTATAGTAAGATTTAATTTTTTAAAGCTTTTCGATTCTAAGATTAATAAAATCAATTTAAAAGGTGCTTTGATAATAGAAATTAATACAACATCTACATTATCTATAATTCTATATAAAAAAACTATATCACATGAAGAACATTTTTTGTCAAAAAAACGATATATAACTAAAAATAAGAAAACAGCATATCCAGAATAAAAAAACTAAATAAAATAAAAACATCTTTAAAATTAACTTCAAAATAATCCTGCTTTATAGGTTTTTCCTTCATTTTGTTTTTTTTTATCATCTTTTTGTTTTTTTTGTCCTCTAATTTGACGACGACGGAGAACATTTTTTACTTCACTATGATTTATTGAATTTTTAATCCTTTTGGTATTGATTTTATCACATCCAAGATAGGTATAAAAACCTGGAGCCATATTTAGTCTTTCATACAAATTAATAACAGCTTTAGCTCCAATGTTAAAATTAGATACAGCATCATAGATGCCCAAAGAAAGTTGTTGTAAACTTACAAATGTTGATTTGGGCAAACGTTCCCAAACCATATTATTAAATGACTCATTTTGATTTTGTGTTTTTCCATGTAAGCACTTGTCAAGAAGTGAATCACATGTCAACTCATTTATAACTTTTCTAACTCGCAATGCAATATTTGTTGGCAAGCCTGGACCATGCCTAAACTTGTCAACTTCATTACTTGCCACAGCTCTTTGATATCCGCACCAACTATTTTTTCCAGTTGGACAATTTACATGAAGATTGTTAACTTTATTAGATGCCACATGGCAAAAACCACTTATAATTCCTTATTTCATGGCTTGTTTATCACCAACGTGCAGCCTGATAGCCAAGCCATAGTAGTTCTGAAGCTTATCAATAATTGCATTTGTTAGTTTTCCTTTTCCACCTATTCCTTTTGTTTCCTTTTTTAGTTTTCGTAAATGGGTTCCTACTCTCTTTTGCACATGCCCTATACATTCTCTCTTTACAACTTTTATATCGTTGTATATGTTTTCCACTGCAATAAAACTTTTAGAATCCCTATCTCCATATAATTCTGTATACCTCATTTGTGACTTAGTGGATCTTGCAAAAATAATTTTTGTGCCTTCTGTTTCCATATTTGGTGCTGATCCAGTAAAATTTGCTGAACAATGGTGATTGATTTCTAAATTAGTTTTCTCAAATGAGTCTGTCATTTTGTAAATGTTCTCACATTTTTTACAATACCTACTCATCGGAACTACGTCCAAAATTTTACCTGAGTCCATTGAAATGCAACTAACTGTTCCATTTAGCGATGAAAATCCTCGTCTTTGCCAGGTGCCATCACATGACACAGGTACATCATAAAAATTATTTTGTGGTTGATTTTTGGATAACTCTTTTAGTTCTTGAGTTGCATCTTTCATAGTTTGAGTGGCAACAAACTTAACACTTTTTTTTAACTTAAAAACAATTTTGTTATAGTTATTTGAAGTAAATGGTGGTGGAAAATTCATAAGTGTATTAAAGCGATTAATACCAGCAAAGCCTTGACCACATCTACGCATTGAGTATACTATTCTGTAGTTTATATCAAACCCTCGTGACATAAATGACAGTTTTTTTGATGTCTAAAATGAATGCTTCCATTGGCAAGAACATTTTACAGTCATTTTACTTGCTAATCCATGTTTTAAACTTTCACTTAGCTTTAAACATGAACTTTGTTTACATTGAGGACAAACAAGAATTGAAATTAAGTTTGATAAATTATACATATCCAAAATTCGATTTCCAGTAATACCATCATTTAAAGGCTGAGAAATAGCATGGCTTGACAGCTTAGTAAACGATCTTGTTTTTGGTAATGATGCTGAAGTACTTGGAATAAGATTCAATAGTTCAGATTGCATGGACACAAATTGTTTTTTGTTTGTGTATTGATTTCCTTTAAACTTCCTTTTCTTTTTTTTTAAACTTGCAAACTTTACTCTTTTAATTTTATCATTTGTTATAGTTTTTTTATTTGCCACATAATTTTTTTCCATTATCAACTTGATAATCTTCTTTTAAACTAATAATTATTTTTATACTTATCCACAACTAAAAATGCCAAGAAGTTATTTATAAATAAAAAAAATAATCACTAAATATTCTACAGAACAAAATTTAATTTATAATAAAAAGTTAGACACACAATGTGTAGTGTATTTATTTGGTTGTGTGACAGTGTGGTTAACATGATCAAAAAGTTTATTTTGTAAGCTTTTCCAGACCTACATGGAAGCAGTTTTAAAAATTAATACTTCACAGACTCAGATTAATCATATATGATTAACTTTTAAGAAAAAGGAGTTGTAGATATGTGGAAAAATAAAAAATAAAATCGTTGCTATGGACGTTGCTAAGAAGATTATTTTTAACTATGATCAAATAATCAAGAAATAGACATACTTTTGAAAATTTTAATTCAGAATCAGATTCCTCGTTGGTTTTTACACTTGAAACATGAAAAACCTAAAATTTAAAAAAAAATTATTTTTTTGCTATTTTGACAGGGGTGAGCCCCCTTAATAAAATGAATCAGATTGAAGATGAAGGTTTGTATTTATTTAGATGTGTATTATGTTACAGATGTATAATGTTATGTTGTTAGTTCTTAAATATATGTTTATTTTTAGTTGCTGAATTACTAAGAAGTAAGTTTTCTTTCATTTTGTTATTAACAAATGTTATAAATTGCATTTATATGTTTGTTAATTTAAATTAACTTTACAATATTAAAATGGTTTAAACGAACTTTTGTAAATGAATTTAATCCTCAAAGATTAAATTTTTTTTTATTATTGAAGAAATTAAACTAGATTTAAGAGTCGATTTAAATGTTTGTTTGTTTTTCTATTTAGATGATGACAATATTGAAGCAAGTAAGTTAAAAAGCATTTTTAAATTTTTAAAAAGAAATAAAAATACTTTTCAATATATATCTGTTTTCTTTGAAGTAGATTTAAAGTTTCAGGTTTTTAAAATCATATACATTATAAGATTTAAAAATGAGTCGACTTAAATGTTTGTTTTTTTATTTAGACGTTGGTGATAATATTGGAACAAGTAAGTTACAAAGCATTTTTTAAATTTTTAAAAAGAAATAAAAATACTTTGTAATATGTATCTGTTTTCTTCGAGGTAGATTTAAAGTTTCAGGTTTTTAAAATCATATATATTATAATATTAAATTCTTTTTTACTTTAAAAATATCCATATTATAGTTACACTGAGTCGTAGAAAAAAAATTAAAGTTTATTAATAAGGTAGTAGATTATTAGAGTAGATTAAATTGTTTGATCTATTAATCAACTTAACTAGCTGTAAGCAACCCGTAATACGGGTTAGTAGTAATAAATCATTACTAACAATTTGATCTTTATTTACTTTCTCTAATGAAATATAAATTTATTTATACATTTTTTTAGTTGAGCTCACTTTTATTTTTCTTGGCTTCTTAGTTTAAGAGAACTCTTATCTTTATTAAAGATTATGTTAACCATAAAATGACTTGAATTATATGCACAGAAAATCGATGTCAAATTTTCAAATTCCGTAAAATTGTTTAGGTAAATATTGGGAATATATTCTACTCTTAATTTTGCTTTAAGCTGAGTTGTTTCTTTATTTTTTACACTTTTCATTTTACTGAGTGAAGAGCTTAAAAATATGTCACTATCGCACCTAAACCTTTTAAATGTTATTAAATATTTTTTAAATATTTTTAAAACATCTAAAATATTACACCCAAACTTGTAGGCATAGAAGTTGGATATCTGGAAAAACTATAAGTTGAAAAATATATCGCAATTCCGAAAAGGGCTTACCCTGCATACGGATCCTATATATTATGATAAAGATTATTATTTAAACCAACCTTTTTTTTAATTAGTAATCCAGCAGAAACTTGTTTATAAAAAAACAAAGGAATATATGGATTTACTATAATAGTTAACGTGTATCAACATATTTATTTCATTTTGCCTTAACTTGGCGTTAGATTATTAGTTTTATTTCATTAATTTTTGTATATATCAGGTTAATAATAAAAGCAGATTAGTAGATTAAATTGTTTGATCTATTAATCAACTTAATAACGTACTATTAAAGTGAAGATTTATTTTGGTTGTTTGTTAAAATTTAGTTAGAGTTTATTTAAAATTTAAATTCTTTAGTTAATCAAGAGAGATCTAATAAAGGTATTAATTACATTAGTTGAATGTAGCATTTAATATGTATTTTATCGATATTTTAACGTCTAAACATTAAAGTGCTTTTATTGTTTAGATACAGAAGTAAAGAAGGAAATAAGTCAGTGTTTTTGCTATTAGATATTTGTTAATAGGAATTTGTTTATTTGTACTGCCACTGGAATTTTAAAAAATCAAGTTCTTTAGCTTTTTTTTTATACTTTTTTTTAGGGGAGTTGGAACAAAAACTAAGTATAAATTATGATTAGTTTAGTTTAATAAATAAAGCATTAATATTTAGAAGATTTAAAGTTTACTTTAGTTTATAGTTTTGGTTTAGTTTATAGTTTTGTTTTTAGCTTTAGTTATTTTTTTCTTACTTTAGACAACTTTATGGATGAAATGAGGGGGGTGGGTAAAACAATTATTTAGATATGTATATATTTATATGTTAACATTATTTTATCGATTATTATATATTTATTTAAGTATATATTTGTCTTTAGTGTCAGGTGGAAGTATAGCTGGTAGGATTGTGTTTTATATTTTATATATTTTGTATGGAGAAATATATGCAATAGGTGAAAAAATTAATTAATAAATATGACACTTTTGAACTGGTTGCATTATTGCCCTATATATTTATTTAAATACAAAATATTGCATGTTTAACCCTTATTAATTTGCTCTCTTTTTTTTTTTTTTTTTTTAAGCATCTTCTGTTTCGAATGAAAATGGTGAGGTTATGCTAATTTTTTTTTTTTTTAATAATTGCAAATGTATAATTTTTATTATACTCTTCTATTTGTAACTTTAGATTCCTTATCATTCGAACAATATCAAAATTATCGTTCCCAACACCCGGGACCTCTCTCAGAGAGGTCCTTCAATAAATGGAAACGTAATGGCGGTATGGATGAGTCCTCCTTTAAATGGAGGGCTCATCCATACCGGGGTTTTGGGAGACACCGAAGAAAAAACAGCAACCAAAAGGTTGTAAATGTCTTCTATCAGTAGAGATATTTATGACTTTTTAGTTGCTGCTTTTTCTTCGTTTTTTTTTTTTTTTAATTTTGTAATTTTTTGTTTCGGTGTTTTTTTTATTATAGTTTTGTAATTTTTTTTTTAAATATATATTACGTTGTATATTTGTTTTGTTTTAATCTTATTTAATAAAATTTTTAATTGTTTTCTCACCAATTAAACCTGACTTCAAATTTAAAGCCCTCTTAAATACCCCTCCCTAAAATCTAAAGTCGAAAGTTGAATTGATTCATTATCCAATTATCATAATATAATGATGCTGCATTCTTTTGTTAAAAACAATTATTTGGTACTGCTTTTAAAATTTACCAAAACCCAAGGCAATATATTTAGCTATATAAATACAATTTATTTATCTCGATTCCATTCTTTATCTTTTATGTTTATAGTTTGGCTCCTTAAAGCATTTTATGTTTTGCTCTTTTTATTATGAATATTTTAAATCCGTTGTGATGTCTTTTAAATTAAACTAAAGTTTACTAAAAGCCAACATAAAAATTACGTTTTTGAACAACACCAAAAAGAACAGCTGCAGTATCACAATAGGTTACCAAAAGCAGGTATACTGTTTTCCAGTTGTTTTTTTTTTTTTTTTCATATATATCTACTTATTTATATAATACTATAGTACGATTGTTTATATCTCATTCATTTTTTTTTGTTTATCTTTAAGTGTTAATAATTTTATTCTTTGAATGATATTAGTTAAACAAGTCGGCTTTTCATTAAAGATATTGGTTTCAAAATTGAACATCATTGGCAAAATGCTTACAAAATTAGGTAGTCTTTAAAAATCTGTTTTCTATTTAATACACTTTTTTTTTTAATATACTTTTCTATAACAATTCTACTAATATGGAATCACGTAGCTTTTTAAATATGTTTAATTGTCGTCCCTATCGGTAATAAATATTTTAAATTATTTGATATGGTTTTCTTTACAATAGGCTATGCTTGGCTCCTCGGTGCTGTAAATGGTGGCTTCAACTTTGTTTTTTTTAAGAAAAATGTGTTTTATATATGCTTCTGTTTTAAAATATTTTTGTTACATATTTAACTATATATCATGTAAATAAATTTCTTTTAAAGATAAGTAAACTTGATACTTGCTTTTTAACGGATTTTCAAAAAGTGAACAAAGGTTTAAATATATTTTTTAACTGTCTTTTATGATTTTATCAATTTTATTAAATATTACTTCAAATATAAAATTTACTATATATAAATAAATATAAAAATTACTTAAAAAATTTTGAGTAAAATCTAATTGCTTTTATTATTAACCTGATATATACAAAAATTAATGAAATAAAACTAATAATCTAACGCCAAGTTAAGGCAAAATGAAATAAATATGTTGATACACGTTAGCTATTATAGTAAATCCATATATTCCTTTGTTTTTTTATAAACAAGTTTCTGCTGGATTACTAATTAAAAAAAAAGGTTGGTTTAAATAATAATCTTTATCATAATATATAGGATCCGTATGCAGGGTAAGCCCTTTTCGGAATTGCGATATATTTTTCAACTTATAGTTTTTCCGGATATCCAACTTCTATGCCTACAAGTTTGGGTGTAATATTTTAGATGTTTTAAAAATATTTAAAAAATATTTAATAACATTTAAAAGGTTTAGGTGCGATAGTGACATATTTTTAAGCTCTTCACTCAGTAAAATGAAAAGTGTAAAAAATAAAGACACGACTCAGCTTAAAGCAAAATTAAGAGTAGAATATATTCCCAATATTTGCCTAAACAATTTTATGGAATTTGAAAATTTGATATCGATTTTCTGTGCATATAATTCAAGTCATTTTATGGTTAAAATTATCTTTAATGAAGCTAAGAGTTCTCTTAGACTAAGAAGCCAAGAAAAATAAAAGTGAGCTCAACTAAAAAAATGTATAAATAAATTTATATTTCATTAGAGAAAGTAAATAAAGATCAAATTGTTAGTAATGATTTATTACTACTAACCTGTATTACGGGTTGCTTACAGCTAGTAATATTATAAAATTGCTATAAAATATTGTACTTTTTGACCGTGGTATACTTTTTTTACCGTTCACCAGTTTTTTTATTTGTATTTTTTAAATATGTATAGAGTAAACTGATCAAAACCTAGCTGAATGAAGCTGCATTAATATCATACGGATAGATTCCGAAAGCTCAAAAAATCAGATTACTTACGGCAAAAGATTCGCTCCAAACCGGTTCTACCAATCATCAAAAACTCTTGAAACTAGTGTCCAATGAAATTTACTTATCAATCTTTCACATTCTTCTCTGTAATCTTTCTTGAGTAGGCTAAATCACAAGACTCAAGGCAGTGGGAAGTGCAGACAATTTAACAATATGTTTTTTGTTTGGCACAGCCGCAGTGATTGTTTACCAATTATTACCAATGTTTACCGATTATTACCAATTAGTATTTTGAAACTTTTTAAGAATTGTACATTATACAAGTAAAGTTAAACGTTTTTGCCTGTTACACAGTCCCCAACTCAATTTTTAGATAGTGTTCCATTCTTGGATGATTTTTGTGCGTCGAAGAAAAATTTTAATTTTCGTTAACTAGAACTGTTGGATATTTAGGTTTGAATCCAATTTATGTTATTCCGCGAATTCAAACCTGTAGGGAACATCTTAAAATACTAAATGCCAAAATGCCTTTACATGCTACTAGCTGTGAGAATTCATTTGTTACAAGTTCAATTGTTAATATCATAGATGCCCCATTCCATAAATAGAGTTTTCCACGTTTACTTCCACGCTGTTTGTGCATTTTTGTGAAGCATTGTAAATTTTCTATAATTTCAATTTTCTTCATTAAAAAAAAAATACAAACTTAATTGAACATAAAACTGGTTATAACTATCTAATAGCAAATGTTGAGGCTCATATTTGCATATAACAAACTTATAGAGGAAAGCAAGTTAGAAGAAGGGGTAAGTTGTCGAATTGCGTTTATATTTAGATCTTTTCATCAAAAAGTGACAGAAACTACATGGAACCTTCCTACTAATTAACTATTCAATCTTTCGCAGAAGTATTATAGAGATTTGCGCATAGGTAAGGGAGATATTGCGATTTTATTGTTTTTTGAACAAAAGCGTAACTTGAAACGTCGCATCTATTGTAAAATTTCTAGTCACAATTTATTTTTAATTTGTAGAAAGTGCTTTTCAAATATTTTATACCGTTATTTTTCATTTGATTCCATAATGACGGACCTTGGTTCATAATTGAAAACTTTGACACTTGTGATTTTAGTATACTTAATTGATAGTTATCGTTAGTATTTGACCAATGATTGTATTTTTAAGATTAAAGCTTTCTAGTTCAGTGTTAATTGTTTTTGGAGTAGTTGTAGAATAAATTTGTATCGTTTGCATACATAAATGCCAATATTTTACGAGAAACTTTATTTATATCATTAATGTATATTTAAAATAATATAGATCCCAAGATTGATGACTGTTTGACTCCACATACAATACCAAGAGTTCCTGAATCGTGTAGGTCAACATAATTTTTTCGATTAAAAAGATTTAACCAACTTATATATTAGACTTTTTATGCCTTTATGTTTATTTGATTAAAAACTTTTAACCAACTTATATATTAGACTTTTTATGCCTTTATGTTTTAACTTTGAATGAAAAATTCCATAAGTACCAGTATCGATTGCCATAGAGAGATCAATAAATACTCCTAATACTTGTTCATCTTTATCAAAGGGTATAGATATTTTTATTGCCAATTTCAATAACAGCATGTTCAGTAGAGAAGTATTTCTGAATTCCAAATTGATTTTTGTATAAAAGCGTATTTACTCAGCTAGCACACCTACTTTAATAAAACGTTAGAACAATGTTGCGATATCATTTTGGTTACAAATGCGACGTCGCCAACATCAAAATGGCGAAATGTAATACTTTACATTAATTCAACATTGTATTTTTTAGTTGGCACAGCATTGTATTTTAAGCTGGCTCAACGGCGCATTTAATGTTTATCGGAATAAGATTTTGTTACTGATTTTTAAAATTATATGTATATATATATATATATATATATATATATATATATATATATATATATATATATATATATATATATATATATATATATATATAATTAAATATATAAATTATGTTGGTGTATTATACAAATAGAGTGCTCAGTGTTCTTTAAGAACAGAGTAGTAATAGTAAGTAACAGTAACAGTAATTGTAAAAATTTATTCTAGAAAACGTTTTACTTTGATATACTTTGTACTTTTTAATAAAAAGTTTCTTATATAAATAATAATTGTTTTTCAAGATAAATAATAATAATATGATAAATTATAAACGCGCATCAATTCGACAAACATGGAGTAAAAGTGTTACGCAACAAGCAATTCTCTCCATGATAAACGACGATTAAGGATATAAAAAAGCTGCCAAGGTGTATAGTGTACCACAAACTACCCTTAAAAAGAGAGTAAAAAAGTTTCGAAAAAATCCTGATATTAAAAAAGCATGGGAAAAGAGTAAGTACAAATGATTATTAATTTATTTACAGTATAGATACAATGTATTTAAAACATAATCAATATTGTTACCCTTTGAAAAGTTATATTAATAATACATTTATAACCTAATTTACCCATTTAATCTTTTGGTGGTAGGCTATGATACAGTGTTATAGTCTTTCACAAAATTATTGTTTTAAAAATATTATAAATGTTTTCTAATTAATTTTGAAGTGATTAAATTAGTACTATTGTATTTTAGTTCTAGCTGCTTTCAAATAGTATTTACCCGAGAGGAAGAAAATGAACTTGTTATACACATTCAGCTGATGGAAAAGATGCTTTTTGTACTTAGCTCATTTGAGGTCAGAAAGTTAGCGTATGAACTGGCAGTTAAAAACAATAAGAAACACAGTTTTAATAATGACCTTGGCATTGCCGGATGTCACTGGTATAAAGGTTTCACGGAGAGGCATTCCAAACAGCTATCACTTCGTAGACCGGAGGCTACATCAGCTGCTCGTGCCATGTGCTTTAAACAAGTGGTTGTGGATTCTTTTTTTTCTTTTCTGGAAAAGGTTGTGGATACAAACAAGCTATATGTTGAAAATATCTGGAATTGTGATGAAACAGGTATTTCTACAGTTCCAAATTGTCTCTCTAAAATTGTTTCAACCAAAGGGAAAAAACAATTTGGTTCTCTCACTTCAGCTGATAAGGGTCAGCTTGTCAAAGCCGTTATTTGGTCTTCAGCAAGTGGGAGGTACATGCCACCCATGATGATCTTTTCTCGTAAACGAATGAAGCCAAAATTATTGGATGGAGCACCACCTGGTGCATAGGCTGAATGTCACTCAAGTGGGTGGATACAAAAAGAATTGTTTATTGTTTGGTTAAGAAAATGAATTCAATAGACAGGGGCCAAAATAAGCTCGCCAGTACTACTTATATTAGATAGACATAAATGTCACACTAAAAGAATTGAGTTGATTAACATTGCGAGAGAGAATGGTGTTATTATTCTGTGTTTGCCTCCTCATTGCATACATCGAATGCAGCTTTTGGATTTGGCGTTTATAAAGCCACTTAGCACTTATTATGACCACAATATCAGGAAATGGTTAAGAACAAATCTTGTACGCGTGGTCACTCAATTTCAAATAGCTGCATTTTTTGGTTCAGCTTACCTGGAAGCTGCAGCAATGACAAATGCTATTATTGGCTTTCAAAAAGCTGGCATATGACCAGTAAATAGAAATATTTTTTCCAAATCAGACTTTCTGGCAGCAGAAACGACTGATATTAGTTTCATTGAAACAAACCCTGTTGCTCATACATGTGACATTGGTGTTATTAGCAACCTCTGTGCTTCTGTCAGCTACCCATCTGTAAGTACCAGTCATCAAATGTTACCTGCAATCCAAATATCTGCATTTAGCAGCAATATAAATGTTTCTAACGTCCACACAATTGCTTCTACAAGCCAATCATCTGATTATACCGGCATAATGTCCACGTCTTCCAGCATTTTAACCACTTCTTCGAGCAATGTTAATACCACATCATTTCAAAATATATCTCCAAGTCTTATTATTCCAATACCAAAGTAGTCACTGCAAAGGAGACTATCAAGGCAGAGAGGAAAATACTGTAATCCTGACCTCGTCTCCGTATAGAGCCTCACTATTAAACACCATGAGTAAAAACGAGGCAAATGCTTCAAAAAAAAGAAAAAGGCTCAAAATGACTAACAAAAATGGTTATGCATCAAAAAAAAAAAAGCTGAGGTAGATGGACAAAACACTGCATCTAAAAAGAAGAAAACAGTCAAAAATTCAGAAGAAGACAGTTCATGTCTCTACTTCCAGGAAAATTACTCTACTAGTGTTAAAAGTTGGGTTTCTTGTAGTGATTGCCACAGCTGGGCACATTAATCTTGTGCTGATTTAGAAGAAAAAGATAAACGGCCAAATTTTATTTGTGAACCATGTCTAAACATTAAACAAATTTTAAAACATATGTTATTGTTACATTGTATACCCCATTTTGCCCCTAGCATTGGGCAAAATGATATATATATATGTAATTAACATTATAAGATTCAGTATTAAATTTATGAGGCAATATGCAAATTAAAAAAATTCAAGAATTATAAAATGTTTCAACAAACGATATTTTTATATAAGAAAATTTCATTCAATGTACTATTTTATGCAACAAACAAAAGCATGCAAGACCTGCCTTCCAAGGGCTATTGGATTTCTGATCTGTATTAAACAAAAAGGTTTTAAACTCCTCAGTGAGTTTTTGAGTTGATGGGTTATCATCAATAATAAGCATCGATAAATCTATCGTTGCTCTTCATTTGAAAAGGAGGAGTTATAACTTTATGACTTTGTTTACATTTAAGAAAACAACAAGAAGGTGCATTACATATGAATGCTTGAAGTTTAACCTTAATTTTTTATTTTTATGTTATAAACTTTCACTAGATAACAATAAAAATTCTTTAATAAATTGAGAAAATCATTTAAGCAGTTTGTTTACAACTTCTATAGAAAAGTGTAATTATAAAATTATATTCTCTATTAGACCAAGTATTGGCCATAGTTGAAGATTAGGAGATTTAAAAAGAGGTAACCCATCAAAATTAACAGTAGTAGATAACTAAGTATACCTACTACTATCATTTTTCCATCAGCAATCTTAAAAACATTCAATCCGACGCTTCATTCGATTTTTTGTTAAAATGTTATCAATATAAAACTTTTTGCAAGAATAATGTTAAAAATAAATAAATATAAAAATAATTAAATATAAATAAACAAGTATAAATATAAGAAAACAAACATCATTCGAAGAAAATTTATTAACTTTATATATTTAGACGCTAATTCAGTTTTTTAAACGATGTTTTTAAGATGCTTTAAAGAGGGCTGTTTAAAATATTATAACTAAGCAAAAAAAAAAAAAGACGTACAAAAGACGTCATACAAAGACTCAATATTTTACTGTCTTTTTAAAAACGTATTGAAGAGGATTTAGATTAGCGCGAAAAAAAGGATTTAAAAAACCTCGTATTAAACGTCTTAAAGACGTCATCCGAAGACAAGACCATTTAAAGACCTAAATAAGATGGTCTTGAAAACGTTTCGTGTTTGCCTACCATGACATTGGGTGTCTTGCCTATCATGCCATTGGGTCTCCTGGTGCAGAAATTTTTTTAGAACCCGCTCTAATAATAAATTTTAAATAATTAGGCTAAAAAAGTTCATTATTCGCGACTACAGGAGATAAAAGTCATAACTCTAGTGTATACCTTTATCTTTAGAATATGCTCAAGGAAGATTTTTTAAAAGCAGCGAAGTCGTTATAGCACAAATATAAAAGGTGGAAGCGCAAAAAAAAAAAAAAAGTTATAAAATTCTATTTCTAAATTTCTAATATTTTTTACGAATCTTGAGAATCGAAATCTTTAGAATTCGTTAATAAAAAAAAGGAAACGTGATTCTTTAAGAATCGGTGAAATCGATAATCGCCTACTTCAAGTGAAAACTCAACTCAAATTTTTGCTTATAAAAGTTAAAACGTTTACAGATTATTTTCTGTGTTATTAAAAATTTATTAATAAAATATTATTGCGCAATTGTACATTTTTCATATTTGCGTGATATACTAAATTTTTATTATAATTAACTTTACAATTAACTAAGGTTAAAATGTTTGCGGGGGTATAATATAACCAATATTTTTAGTAAAAAAGTATACAATAAAATTTAATTGTTAATGTCAACTGAAATGATAAAATTCTCTAAAAATACATTTTCATGTTAGTCTCTACTAAAATGAAATGTATTTTTTAAAACATTTGATTGATATAGTTTTTTTTTTTTTTATGTTGTTAATTATTTCTCGACTATCTCATTTTTACAACGAAAATACTTTTATAAAAATTTAATAAATACTGGTATTTTATAAATGAAAACTTGAATGACTAGTTTTTTTGTTCAGTTTGTTTTAATTTAATTTTTCAAAAAATAAGTAGAACACGCCACAGTAAATTTTAATAAAATTGCCGAAACTCAAAACTTTGGAACCTTTACAAATGGACCCTAGTGCTAAGTTTTTTTTCTTACTTGTTTTGATAATTTTTTCAGGTATGGTTTGTTCAGTTATAAAATGCTAATTTTTATTTATAATAAATTATACTAATTATTTACAAGTAGGGGGTGACGGGGAAAAATGGTGAACGTGTTAAAAATCCTGAGTTTTTGCAAATTGACAGTCATGAAGCAATAATATTTTGTCAGTGTGTCTGTTTTATTGTAATATTTTATTGCCCTTGTGAGGTTTAGAAATTGAAATTTTAGTAAAAAAATTAAAATAATCATAAATTTGTCATCTGGTCGCGTAGTCGGTGCAAAACATCTTACTTTTTTGTGTTCAACTTTATAAAATTTTACGAAACTACTAACGATTCTATTTTAAATACCGCAAAATAAACATGCGTCGCAAAATTAAAAAAAAATCTGTTTTTCCTTTTAATCGATTATATCGGTGTGTGATTTTTTAAATCCCAAAATACAATGATTAAGATGTGACATGAAGTAAAGAAAAATAATAATAAAGAACAAAATATTATTTAATATTTAAACAAATAAATGATTCGAAATAATTTAACTAAATTATTACTTTGATCATTGCTATGTTAAATTTTGAATAGGGTAGAGCAATTTTTATTAAATTTAACAAATCTCACGAACGGTGCGTCGGATTTACATAATTTCTTATATATTTGAAAGATAAATTAAACTGCTAAAAAATCTGTTAAGAAAAAAGTATAGTTTTTAATTTTTTTTTAGAAGATATTACCTAAAGTTTGCGGACCTGCTCAACCTGCCCCAACGGGGTTAGTTAAGCAATAGTGTGTGGTAAGTTGAAAAATCAACAAATAAAGAATATGTTTGGTACAAAACTTGGGTGAATCATCAATAGAACTTTTACAAACAGTGTGTATAATTTACACCCACATACTGTTAGTAAAAAACATAAACTTTTTATTTTATATACTTTAATGACGTAAGTAAAAAAAGAGAAAAAATTATAAAGTAAGAAAGTGTCATAAAATATAAAAATATAATTTTATACTACATTCTTCAACATTGAAGCCCGATTTAAAAATTACTCATTTTAAAAATATATGTAAATAATGTACCGCTCTATTAATTCTCACCAAAGTTGTTTCTTTGTGTTCGATAGTTCAGTTTTATTTATTTTTTTACTTTTTTGGTCCTAAATAGAAAAAGTGCCGTGTATCTCACTCAATAGATTTTCAGCAATCTTTTGTTGTGTATTGTGTTAACATTCTAATTACCTAACTTCTATCTAATTTTTATCCATTAGATGTTTTGTCATGTGATGCGTAGTTTTTGAGCCCAACTTGCCCCGCTCTACTCTTATTTTTATAAACTTATTCGCTTAAATTCTACTTATTATATCATCGTTTTATTTTTTTTTCTTCTATTTATTATTGTGCTCCCAAAAGTCTTACGGTCTTATCACAAAGGGTATAACTAGGAAGTTCACGCCTTCTTTTTTTCCAATTTCGCTTGTTGGGGTACGACGTCGAACCTCGGACATTAATTACTTTTATAAATATTTTTTTTAAATCCATCCCTTCTTTTTGTTATCGCTCTCGTCTAAAGTGGTAACCGTAAAAGTAGATAGCTCTTTAATTAATAGTACTTATGTGACATGAAATTTTAAATTAATCAATTAGTAGATTGTTATATATCATTAGAAAGGGCTTTATTACAGCGTTTTAAAGGTGAAAAAATTATTAAAATTGAACAATTTTACAAAAGTTATAGCATTTTAAATAACGAGTTTTCGATTTATGGATTTGTTAAAAAAACGGTGACAAATTTTGAATTTTTCTTAACTTGAAATGTCAGAACTTTTTCAATTTTTTTTCAAAACTCATAAGACTTGGCATCAAAAAAAAAAGGTTTTAATAAGGAAAATAAAGATACATAAAAGACGTATGCGGGGCGTTAAAAGCGCGTCTATAATACCATTTATTATATTCAAAATCAAGATTTTTTTTAAAAAAGTTTTTTTAATATTTTGTATGCTTTATATGTAATATTCAATATTATTTTATATAATAATATACATTTAAACATTAATGTTCAATTGTTTATGATATGTCCTCCCCCCCCCCAACTCCCTGTGTGTATAGCGGAACTCAAGTCAAAAATAAGTACCTATTTTGGGTGAGTTAGTAGGGTGTCTGATGGTGCTTTTTTTATAATATTTTGGCAGATAACTAGAAAATAGATTTTATGCTGATGTCTGAATATATTAAAAAAAAGTCTCAGTTATCCTTCAAGACATACGTGATGCACAAACAACAAGAAAAAACGCTTCTGCAAAAACTGTATCTATTTATATACCTAAGTAAAATAAAAGATTTTTAGATTTTTGTAATGTTATTCCTTTTTCTCTTTCTCTATTTTACTGTTTTTCTTTGAGTAACAGCATTTTAAATTTAGTTTTTTTTAATAAATTATTTTAGCTGTCGACTGCGACTATTGCGAGGAATATGGCTTTGGCACGGGTGAAAGATCATATCGTTGTTTAACTAATATTGAAAATTTTCCAGCAGAAATAAATATAGACATTAAAACTTGTAACAATGATCCTGTGGTAAAATTTCATATCAAAATTAGCAAACTTAATATTAATTTTGAAACTCAGGTGCATGCTTCTCAAGATATTCAAATACCTGGACTATCATTATCTAGTTTAGCTGGTTTATACATTCAAGTAAATTTTGAGGACGACCATTCTGGAAATAAAGATATAAAGGTGATATTTTTAACAAATCTAAAGCTATATAATTTATTTCAAATATATATATATATATATATATATATATATATATATATATATATATATATATATATATATATATGTATATATATATATATATATATATATATATATAAATATATATATATATATATATATATATATATATATATATATATATATATATATATATATATATATATATATATATATATATATATATATATATATATATATATATATATATATATATATATATATATATATATATATAAACAAAATATATAAGTAATGTTGATAAGTAAAAGTCGAGTACAAAAAATATATAAGTAGTCTTTAAATTAGAAGAACAAATGCAACAAAGTTTTCACTACGTAGTTTTGTGGTTTACGGTATCAAAAACTTTTGACAGATCAATGAAATGTTTACCTTTAAATATTTAAACTACAATAAATGTGCTTTGAAAAACTAATTTTCTTGATTATGAGAATATTATTATTGTACTTTATGAATGAATTATTTATTAACAAAATTTTTTATTATTCAATATATTTTTAGGTAATGCTACTATTTAAAGTTTTTAAAGTTGTGAAACTGAAATTGCAATTGCTTAATAAGACCATCAGCAACTCAAATTGTAATGGTAAGTTTGATGTTTACGTGCACATTAAAAATATTATTAATAAAGAAATAATTTTCTCAAAACAAAAAGAATACTTCTTTTTTAAATAAAAGTTAACCCATTGCGCAATTTATTTCCTAAAACATTCGATAACATTCTCATTCGAGAAAGTTAAAGTATATACTTTATTAAAATTAAATTTTGTCTTTCAGAAGTTTGATATAGCTTTCATATAAAATTTAAAAAGTTATAAGGCAGCTCAGTTTTGAAAAGGTTAATGGTTTTTAATTTTTTTTTTTTTATCTTTTCTTACCCGGGGGTCGATACAGTCAAAAAGGTTATTTATTTTTTATCTTGTTTCATTTAATTTTCTGCTTTGTTATAATATTTGAAAAAAATACATATAAATAAATGCATATAAACCCGATTAAAAAAATATATATATCCTGTCTTACCTTAAACGAGTCCCGTTTACATTGCTTGACAGTATTACAATAAATGTCAGTATAGTTTTATAACTTTAACAATTTCTCAAACTCGAAACATTAATCTTAAAGAACAATTTGAATTTGCAAAAAAGCATTAATAAGACAGTGTTGTTATTTTTTATTAATATTTTTCATATTTTATATTTTAATATGATTATTATTCCTGACATTTTTATTAACCTATTTTGTTTTTAAAGATATTTTAAAAATGTGGAATTCTGCAGATGATTCCTTGAAATACGGCATAACGGGTGGACTTTCATTACTACTTGTTGGATTATTTTCTTGGTGCTGTTACTGTTGTTGTAGAAAAAAAAAAGCCAAACCCGCTATAATAATGTCTGGAAATATTTTACCATTATTTCAAAGCAAAATTCCTTACAAGATACATAACAATGTTTAAAGTTATTTGAAAAAGTTAACATACCAACTTATTGTTCAAAAAAAAAGTTTTTATCTTTAACCATAAAATGATTAATAAAAAAATGGCTACAATCAGTTTTATCATTTATAATGCATAAAAGGTTTATATTTTAACGAGTTTTGTTATCCCTTAAAAAATTAAAGTTATGTATTTTATTGAAATGAAGTTATTTCTTGAAACACAACTTGTTAGAAATATTACATTTTGCTCAGAATTCACATTTTGTCTTCTTTATAAACTAAAAAGTTTTATTAAATTAGATTTTTTTTTCTTGTAAAGTTTGTAAAATCTGTAAATTCAGATTTATTGTTAACTTATTGTTGTTGTTGTTGTTGTTGTTGTTGCTGTTGCGGAGTTCGCAGCGTTGCTAAATACAAACTAAACATCTTTCTGACTCGAGAAAAACCTTTAGGTGTATTAGATATCAAGTTATCACGTATACTAGTTTTTAAATCATTCATTGTCGTTTGTGGAAGAAAATAGAGTTTAAAACTTATGACCGTATAAAGTTTATGACCACCTTTATTATTGGGGAATACGGAAACTTTGCTTTCTTGAGGACTAAATATATTTTTTATATATGATAAGCTATCTAATTATTCTTTAAATCTAGCATAGAGCGTTTTTTGCGTTCGTTAAATTTGATTTATACCAGGGCTTCTTTTTCACTCATAAATATAAAAAAGATAAGTAAATTTATCTTTTTGAAATCAGTGTTTAATATAAAATATGTACGGAACTGTGTTTCTAGCGCTTTTTAGTGATTAACTATAATTTTTGCGATACAAGTTCTACAATGATTGTTCTCAATATAAAATTGTCGACACTGGACAAAATTTCAAACGAATTCTTTTCTACCCGAGTTTTCCAAATTTTGATCTTTTAAACAAAACTTTCTATTTTATCATTTGAAGTAAATATAAATCGCAAAGTTGAGATCGTTTAATTTCTCAAATATATCTGAAAATAACACAGCTTGGATAGCCATAAGTCATTTTGAAAAAAAGCAACAAGTTTACATTTTCGTTCAGTTAAAAATAATTTGATTATGTCATTTAATAATAATCTTCTTAAACTTTGATCTCTTGACAACCATCTTACTTCTGCATGTAATATTAAAGTTGTGTACTTGAAATCCATATCCTTACAGAGATTTGAAAATAAGTGGCTGTTAAGGGCATGGTTCTTAATAACATTTATAATCTTAACAGCATACTGAAGCACATCGTTCAATTCTGATGTTAATTTTTTTGCTGCAAGAGCTTCTTGGTAAGCTTGAAAATATGATTTAAAACTAATAATTTCGCCCGTCATTGCTCCATCTTTTTTGCACCATCTGGGCATATTCCACAGCAATGTTTCCATTCTAAATCTTCAGTGACAAAATTTGTCGAGTTTACAAAATATCTTTCCCTAAAATATGGTTTTTCAAAGGACGACTAAATAATAATTCTTCCTCCACATTTTCCTTATAAACGTACCTGACATATACTAACAACTGAGCCAATTTAGTAATACCCGTTGTTTCGTCGAAATGAATTTAAAATTTTGGACTTTCTTAATTCTTGTAATACGTTGTACTAATTGGTCCTTGTTAATATCAGAAATTCTATTCGCGACAGTGTTGTTCGACAAAGGAATTTTTTGAATATCACCGCCATATTTACTTCCTGTAGTATTTCATCATATTAATAGCAGCAGATAATACAGGATCTTCTTCGATAGTGAACGGCTTTTGATTTTTAGCAATACAGTATATAACTTCATATGACGTTGTAAATATTTTTCATTAATGGTTATATATTTTTCAAAAGATATTTTTACTTTGTTTAAAGATTTTTACAGTCTTTCAAAATATTCTTTTGGTTTACTGATATACGAAACATGCTTTGATTCTAAATTTTTTTTTTTTAATTTTGATGGTTTCATACTCTCAGCAGCCATTCATTCATTGCAGATATTTCAAAGTGGTTGTTCATTACTCTTACAATTTTAAAATTTAAATCTAAATTGAAAAAAAGACTCATCATATATTTTTTTTTCGCTTATTAAATGACTGTTTTTCAATACTTCGACCTGGCTGAGAAGCGTTTGTAGCGTTATCATCTGCGTCATTACCATTCTTGTTTAAGCTCAGCCATTTATCCATGGTCAAAAATAATTTTGATCCTAAAGTCCGAAAAACATATAAAAATAACATATTGCATTAATATTTGAATAATTAATTACTGAATAAATGAGACTAAGATAAAATAGCGTTACGGTTGAACACTAACGATTTTACGGCGCGAAAACCGTTAGCAAATAAGAACATATCGCAGTTTAGTTATTAATTTTATCACAATTTAGTTAGATTTTTTTGTATTAAATGAACTTTGTTTATAAACATAATTTTTGTTTATAAATAAAACTCAAGTCGTACGAACTTCATAAGTTTTTGAATGAGAAAGAAAAGGAGCTCCATTGCTGAAAAAAAATTCTTTTAAACAAAAACACTTCTCCTTTCTTAAAACAAAAACATGTTTTATGGTTGCTCACATTAAGTCTATGATGTAGGCTTTTGTAAAATCTTGACGTTTTTGCTTATATCATATTAGTTTGCAAATATATAAAAATTTTGCAAATATATATAAATAGTTCTGAAAAAGTGAAAAACCATTTTAAATTCTTTAATTCAAATTTTAATTTTTAAAATCATATCTATGGCGACCCTAGAATTTCGCTACGCAAACCCATTTGGGGTTTCGCTCTGTCTGAGAGTTACAAAGTTGCGGCAAATTTTGCAGCAATTTTAATCTCGTGCACGCGCAAGATTAACTTTTTCAGCAATGAAGCATGCAAAAAACGTTTTGTCAGTAGTACAGCAATTTTATATTATATGTCTTGTAAAAAACTAGAATTTAAAATGTTTAAAACAATAGAATTTAAAATAAAAAGACAATTCTGGACCTCATCAAATAGGTCTATAAACTCTCTTTGGTTTTGAATATGAAATATTAAACATGAACTTTACATACAAAACGCGTAAGAACTTTTTTATATTAATGTATAAGTAGAAAAAAAGTAAAGAATTACTTGAATTTATTATATAATGCAAGAAAGTTAGTTAAATATTAATTTTGACATATTTATTTAAAAATTCATACTAGATGACTTTCTATTGTCTTTCCATATCCACGTTCTTTGCAATGGGGATGTAAACCTTTGCATTGTATAAAAATAAGATCTCAAATTTTATTAAAATAATCTTATTTTTGAAATTGAAATCTTATTCTTTAAATTTGTTTTTAATAATAATTCATTTCACAAATTAAAATTAAACATATTACCACTTGAGTCCCTTTTTGAATCTGTGTAAATGTTTCGCCAACTTGAAAACAATTGCATATTAAATAGGTGTAATTTTGTATTCCTCTGCAGTAAAAGTAATTGTTCAAATGATATATATATATATATATATATATATATATATATATATATATATATATATATATATATATATATATATATATATATATATATATATATATATATATATATATATATATATATATATATATATATATATATATATATATATATATATATATATATATATATATATAAATGATTTGCTATATGCAAATTTTTATATTTCATTGTTAAAATAAATTTTATTAAATTCTTGTTTAGATGAAGTTGCTTTAGAGAGGATCAGTCAGTTATATCCCTATTATATGATTTAATATTTTAGTATTTAGTCATTTACTATTAGCTTCACTTACTTTGACGGAGACATTTAAAGAGAAAACAGTTACTGCAAGGCTTCACAATATAGATAGTGAGGAATTAATGGGTATGGTTTAGTGATGCAAAAAAAACGGGCTCTCAATGCAACAATTTGCTATATCTCTTGCAAAATAAGAATAAAAAAATAGGACTGTCGACTAAATGGACACTCTAGATTTAAGTTTAAGAAAAAAGATGTAGCACGTAAAAACAGATTTAAAAATTGACTGCATCGATGCAAAATAAGAGAAAAGGTTTGCCAAAGAATAAAAATAAAGCGCCAAAAAATGGATGAAAAAGAAAGTTAAAGCGCGAGCTACCCTAATTGAATTTTGACGAAGTTTATAATTTGTATAAGTACTTGTCTAATGAACTATTTAATTTTGAAGAAGTCTAGATAAAATTGCTGGGAAGAAACTAGAACATGAATGTTATGATCCAAAAATATGCAAAAGTGTTTTATATAGCAGCAGAGTAGAAAAAGTTATTAAAAGAAAAAATGACATCATTTACGCTGTTTCTCACTGGAAAGATGATGAAACTGATATTGAAGCTGTTGACTATTGCATGAAAAAGATGATGTTGTTTCCAGTGAGTTATAATTTAATTAATTTAATAACACTGGAAAGTGTTGTGACTTACCAATAATGTGTTGTAAGTGTTGTGACTTGCATTAATAATATAGCAAATGTCGTGACTTGCCAATTTGTATTGCAAGTGTTGTGACTTGCTAAATAAGTCAGGTTAGTGTTGTGAATTGCCTAAATTGTATATAGCAAGTGTTGCAACTTGTAAAATTTTTTTATAGACGGCTCTGGCTTACCTTCATGGTGCCTATTGTTAAAAATGATTAAATATAGTTTTATTGGAGTTAACTATTTTAATTATTTACATATTATTGCATATATATATATATGTATATATATATATATATATATATATATATATATATATATATATATATATATATATATATATATATATATATATATATATATATATATATATATATATATATATATATATATATATATATATATATATATATATATATATATATATATATATATATATATATATATATATATATATATATATATATATATATATATATGCGAGATCTACAATCTAAAGCATTTCTGTATTTTTATTTTTATCCTTGCCTAACACTATTTTACTTTTACATCCAAAGGAAAAATCAACTTCGTAATATAGTTCACTATATTTATATTACTTTCAAATTTTATATCTAATTTTTTTGTTTAATAAAATGGAATATTGTTTTATTGTTAATTTTAGTTTTGCCTAACTTTTTTTTACCTTCGAAATCTATTAAAAAGGAACAGTCAAAATATTTGCAACCAACATCGAACAATGCTGAAAAGTGTTCCTAATTTTACATGTCTTAAAAACAAAACGAGCTATACTACCACAGAA